CGCGAGACCCAAGGAGACAACATTCAACCGGCTCCCCACTCCCTCCAAGAACCAGGCAACAAAGGAAAGGCAACAATCTCTAGCTCCTCTGGAACATCCTCAAGTTCCAGCCGAGCCTAGACAAGAGGTAACAACCTTCCTCCATTGTATATAACCGCACATCTTTGTTTCTTGCATTGTGTTTGTTTGCTCCTTCGGATGAGTTTGCAACCGGGACGGTGTCAAGCAAGTTTGGGGGAGTACTTGTGTGATTTAATCTTGTGTTCTTTGATCTTATCTTCCTTCTACATCCTTGAGTCTTAGTTCATGAAAAATTGGTAAAATTTTTAAATTTTTTTTTCAAAGATTCATGTAGTTGCATTCATATTTCTTAAAACATGTAGGATTGAGTCTAGAATTTCTCATATCACTTAGGTTGTTTGCATTTGCATAAGGGGTCAGAATTTCTTAAAAAGGTGTTTTACTTATGCATCATTTCAATACCCTAGTTAGTAGTTCTTTGATGCTTGTGCAAACTTGAAGTTAAGTTCTAACCATATTTGGATCATTTGTTTTGATTTTCGTGGCTTAAGTTGAACAAACATGAATTGAATCCTTTTCTACTAAGTTAGAACCCTAATCTGAATTCGAATTATCACACTTGTGCATTTGAAATGAAGTACATGGATCACATATACATATTCAGGCTTTCTTACCCCTTTCTACCACTCTTTGTAAGTCTGAATAGAACTCCACACCCTGAACCTAGCTTTCCTTTCAAGCCAAATATTTCTTGTGTGATGTGAGGCCTTATTTTTGGATTGAACTTAGCATAAAATGTTAGGTTTAGGCGACATGATTAGGCTTTCATATTTATGCTAGCTTTGCATTTTGAAGCTAGTTCTAGGTTTGTTTTGGGGCAGGGATTCACTGGTGTTAAAAAGAATTTTGCTTATGTGTTTTCGGTTTAAAAAGAAATGGTTTGGGATTTGAAAATAAGGACTCATGGTTTTAAGTGGTGGTTTGTTCTATTTTTAAAAGAAAGCTCAGTGTTAAAAGAGAAGAAGGTAGCTCTCAAAAATAAAAATAAAATCAAAAAGAAAAGAGCCAAAGGCCAAAATAAAAAAAAAAAAGAAGAAAAAAATAAAAAATAAATTAAGAGAAGAGAGCTACCAAGTTTTTAAAAAAGGGGTTTAAGTTTGTGTTCAACCACCACTAGCCTAAGAAGAGTGAAGTTGCTTTCTATTTTTGTGGGTTATGCTTGGCTTCTTGCCTTATTGTTTGGGGTAGCTTCTAGAGGGTGAGTGAGCTTGAAAAAGAAAGAAAATGATAGGGGTTTAGGATCATTGTTAGTGTATTTGGGTAGATGAGAGTCTAGTCATGTATGCATCAATTGTCTTCACCTTTAGCATTATGCATAAGTTCGATCCTTTTTGAGATAACCCATTGTTTGAATCACCCACTTGAATGAGATCATTTTTGTCTCATAACCTTGCCCTTAGCCAAATGTATTATGTTTTAAGTGTATGAGTGTGATTCACGGTTTGATCATTAAATTGAATGTTAAAGGATAGGATTCTTGGATTGTTTGGAATATGAGAGTCATGATCTGAAATTCAACATGTGATGAATATGGCTAAGTTCTTTGAAGTGGAGTTTGTATACTGCATTTTAGAATTAAGAACTAGGACGTTGAGATGATCTATTCGAAAAGCACCTTTGCAAAAAGTTTAAAACCCCTTTGATTTTTCTGAAAAACCTCTCTTCCTTACTTGTTTTTTGTTGCTTGAGGGCAAGCAAGAAGTAAGTTTGGGGGAGTTGATATCATTGCATATTGCATACATTTTGTATACTCATTAGGTAGTTTTTCATGCATTTGTATCATGTTTTAGGCTAGATTGCATCACTTAGGGTCCTAGAGCATTCTTGCATCAGCATATGCATTTTCTCTGCATTTTGCATCCATTCCAGGTTGTTTCTGGTTGCTTTGGAGACACGGAGGTTCGTGAAGGTGTGGAGGCCGATGTAGCAGTTCATGGAAGCTCGGGAGTGTGCTAAGGACCAGTGATCGAGGAGAAGATCGAGCATGGCCGGTCGATCTAGGAGTTGATCGACCAGAAGATCGAGCCAACTAGGCGATCCAAGGATAATGATCGAGACGGAGATCGAGTGAAGCAATCGATGTATCGGTACGGACGTAAATGATGCTATGCAGAGCGAGAGCCGGATCGAGTACACCACTCGATCCTCCCGAAGATCAATACCGAGATCGGATGCAACACTCGATTCACCGAAGAAGATCGAGACCCGGATCGAGCCGAAGACACGATGGCCGGATATGATCGAGAGAACAACTCGATCCAATGGTCGATCTCTGTCCTTTCAACCATTTTTGGCTGTTAGCGAAGGGGGGACCATTGGACTGTTTTGACATTTTAGGCAAGGCGGCGAATGCTTTTTCGATAACTTTTAGATTTTCTTATCTTTTCTTTCATGTTTTCTCTCTCGTTTTCGCAAGAACACCATTGTTGAACCAGTTTTCTTTTCAAGCTTTTGTATTCTCGAACCTTATCGTTTAATCTAGTCGTTGTTTCATGTTTATCGTTTCATTTCTTCTACTTTGCTTGATTTACTTTATGTGTAGTGAGTAGTTTACTTTGGGTTAGGGGTTGAGAGGATTAAGGGGTAGAAAAGGTTCGATCTTGGTTTGTTTTCTAAACGTTTTTAAGGCTATCTCTTCTAAGGTGTTGAAAGCTTAATGCTTGAAGACTCTCACGCCAAGAGCTTCATGATCCGAGAGGTCCCTTACCTTGACAGGATCCAGGGGCCTCGGAAGATCTCACCTTGGAGACTAGTTACCCCTTCCCAAAAGCCATGGAAGTTTGGGGGACTAGTTAAGCTATTGTTCGAAATCTGTTTTCCTTGCCTTTCAACCTCTCTTTCCACCAAAAGCCATGGGTTTGGAGGAGAGGATGAAAGAGTGATCTATACCGAAAGCCACGGATAGATCTTGTTTTGTTTTCGAGGCTTAGAGATCCTCACCAAGTGAGTCGATCTAAAGTTTCAAACCCAAGATCGATCTTTGAAACCCCTTATATGAATCTCAACCCTAAAGCCCTCTCTTCTAGCATATTTACGTCTCATATCATCTTTAGCTTGTTACCTGATAGCATCCTGGTCTTTAGATTCATTGTTCTTACAGTTTTAGACGAGATCGATCGTTTCTGCTCGATCTAGTGGTCGATCTTGTGGTCGATCTACTAGTCGAATTTTAACAATTCGAAGCTCTTCCCTTTAATTTATCTGTTTGTTCCTCGTGGTAACTGCTTCCTTTCTAGTATTTTTAAAATAGGTTTCACTCTGTTTAGGTTGCTGCATTTAGTTTTTAGATTGTTTCCCATAAACTGTCTTATTCGCTTAGATTTGTCTTAGATCTTGCATTCTCTGTGGATTCTCTATCATCTAGAAGTGGATTGACACTCTCCTGCTTGCCTTACTACAACATTGCTTGCATTAGAGTTTTGATAGCCTCTCTGCTGCATTAGACCATAAGAAAACGCTTATCAGAGATATCAACTAACAGCAGATTAAAAGCCAACTAGTTGATCCTTCTTATGGGTCATTTTAGGAAGAGTCATGTTTCATAATAAAATTGTCAAGTAGGTTTTTCAAAAATTATCCCAAATAATTTTTCACATAATGGCTTTTGAACAAATATACATTTATAAATTTTTTATGTAATAATATATTTAATTTAAACTTTAAAAATTGAGTATATTTGCATGTGAATATTAAAATAGAATATATGAAATATTACATAAAATAGTTAGAATGTTTATCATAATATTTTCATGTAAAAATATATAAAATTGAATAATTATATGAAAACTTTAACATATTTTATTGGATTATTGACTTAATTTCCTAAAGTATCTTTTAGTTCATGGAATATTGTATACTATATATTTGCATTGAAATATTAATATTGGAATAACATGTATTAATATTAATTATTAGTCTAACAAAAATATATAGTGGCATATTATATAATTAGTCTAGTAATATAATTATTTTTTAAAAATTTTGTGAGAATCTCTATGGTGGTGACACATCATCATAATGGTATTACTGTAATTACTTACAAAACTAAGGTTATTCTCTAAAAATGCTTTTCAATTAATACATAGGAGATATTTATTTAGTTGTAACACATTTGGAAAATGTAGTCAAGAGATGTGTTACAATATCAAGTTAAAATAATACAACGACTATAAATCAAAGCCAAAAACTATTATCATTATTCATGAAAAAGATTTAAATATACGATAATAGATTGTAACTAAATTTTTTAACAAATTATATTCTGAAGCAAAAATCCGCACATCACGAGGATACTCATCTAGTTTTAACGAATCAGAAGGCAATTTTCTTTAACTTGTAGGTAAAACAAAACATTCAAATATAAGAGACAATGTTAGATGTTAGCATTTTACAACTCTATCAATGATTTCACTCCTTTGTATATTCCACATGCTATGTGTTATCTCGGATATTTCATCTCATGTTTTTGAAGCTAGTTTTTAGTCGTATACTATGTGATTCACAAATATCAGAATATAATTTCTTTTACATGAATTCTCAACACTTAAAAAAGAGAAGGCAATTTTCTTTAACTTGTAGGTAAAACAAAACATTCAAATATAAGAGACAATGTTAGATGTTAGCATTTTACAACTCTATCAATGATTTCACTCCTTTGTATATTCCACATGCTATGTGTTATCTCGGATATTTCATCTCATGTTTTTGAAGCTAGTTTTTAGTCGTATACTATGTCATTCACAAATATCAGAATATAATTTCTTTTACATGAATTCTCAACACTTAAAAAAGAGAAGGGAAAGTTTGTTAAGAGGATACAACAAACACACAAACAAAGTACCGAGGAAGACAGTGTAAACAGATTAAAAGGAAGAAGCAATATAAGAAAAATCAGAGAGTTGAATCAAAGAAGAGAAGTATCACTTCTGTTTCTTACCACCAGCAAGAATACGCTGAATCTGAAGGCCACGACTAAACGCTTGGTTAAAGAGAAGTCTAGTCTGAAACTCGGAGACGAAAGGGAACCAGGCGAGAACCGTGACTGGCATGAATATCACAACGCCCATTATGTACTCATATCCTCTAGCCAAAGCCTTAACCGAACCCCACATTCCTACAGCCTTCATTAATTGTCTCCCGACTTGTGAGATCTGAAGCAGAGCCCATCCCGTTGGTAGAAACGCTAAAAGACTCTGCATTATATCTCCAACTGTAAGTTTCAGGAAGTGGAACAGCATTCCTACTATCACCACTGTTCCGATGAAAAGAAAGAGCTTCAGCAATCTGAACATCAGTTGAAAATCCGCGCTGAATTTCTTTCTCCCCATTGAGACTATCTTTAAAATGATCATTACAGCGACTATCACTAGCCATGAGAGTCCGTAAACTATGATGCTCTGTTGTTTTCCTAATCTGCTCTCTTTTGTTAAGTTCAAGTGATAGACAATGCCGTATTGGTAGATGAAGTAGCGGAGGGAGAGGAAGATTTCCCAGAACTTTCCGAAAAACCCCGAGTGAAGCAAATGCTCTTGTTCTTCTTCCCACCAGGATTCCCAGCTTTTGTTTGCGGGTACTCCAATGCCTCCTCTACTGCTTATCCACTTGTTCCAATCATCCCAATCATCAACTATCTTCTGCCATTCGAATCCTGAGGGATTGAAAAGAAACGGTGAGAATAACCAGGAACCAACTAAGAACCAGGTTGAGCCCATCACGAGAGCATAGGCCACTGAGTCCTCTGTTGCTTTACCATACAGCCTGTAACATATCAGGAGTACCATCAGCTCCATTCCTTTCACAAAGTGGCTTCTCGAATACATTCTGTAGTTCTCTGCGAACTTCTCGTGCTTGACCACGAACCCACGGCCTGTTGCTCTGTACTTAGCTCCTCCGTGTAGTATGGTTCGTCCAAAGTAATGAACCTTTGTACCAAGCGAGAAGGTGAAGAAGACGGGTGCTAACTGAAGCTGCATTATGATTAGATCGCTCAAGGCAGTTCTGAATCCTCTCTCTAGTCCAATCTCCATTATCATTGGAAGTGTCATAAGCAGACCCAATTGCACCACCGACTGTGACGCCATTGCTGCCTTGAGCGAACTATCTCCTTTAGCCGCTGCGTACTTTACTATTGCCTCTTCCACTCCACTCAATGACAAATAAAGTCTTCCATACAAGAATGCGTAAACTGTTAGGACAACAATCTGCAATCCAGAGAATGAATCACTTGTGTTGAGAATATTATGAGCCGAAGCTATACTCAGTTTGACATTTAGAAGATCAGAAGTTACCATCGAGCTGATGTAGAAGCCTATTGTTGTGAAGTAACAAGACATCATGCGGAAGAAATCGAAACGATGCCCAAGTCTGTAGAGATCTCTACTCAACGTTTGCTCCCCGTTCCCACAAGCAACCTTGGCTTCAAAGAGGGATATCTGGTTCAAACCAACATCTCTTCCTTTTCCTACTTGAATGTACTCATGATGAGTGACATTACCACGTCTCAAAGTTGAGTTGAAACCTTGATACATACATAAATCAATCATAAGTAAATCATGAAGGAAACATATAACTGTTTTCTCCTTAAAGAGGTAAGGTCAGGAATCCAACCAGCAAAGATATCCTCGCTAAGATTTATGCCGCGTGATGCTTTGCTGATGCCACCTCGAGTGATATGAAAAATTCTATCAAAGACATCAGGGTGACCATAATGAAACCGGACCCTAATATCAGAAATCAGACCATAAGCTTCATGTTTTGTATTAAACTATATACTGTGTAGAATGAAACAAGGAAGAGCAAGACATACTTCAGAGGACTTGCAAGGACTCGCTGACCGATGGTCACAAAGCTTGTTTCTTGGTTGGACATAAACCAGGCTAAAGAAGAAACACTGCAAGTACCATGCCATATATATTTATATATCAGCTAGCAGAAAGAAAGAAGCACTATAATCAAACATAAAAACATGATAACCAAATATCCCAAATACCTGCCAGTGAAAATATGTTCTCTGAAACCAAGAATAGTGGGTGGACGCACTCCATGGTCTTCATTGAATTCTTCAAGCAGGTTCCTCATTTTCAGCGCTTCTTCCAAGTAATGGTCCTATTAATTAGATACTACGGTAAGTAACATTCTTCAAACAACGAATAGTGTTTTATGTTCCCGTTGGGGGAGAAATGTTTTACCTGATTCATATCAATAGCCTGGAGAGCTTCTCCTCTTGTAAAAATGAGAGCATGATTCTGATTTTCAGGCTTTCCTTCTCCTATTTTTGCTGGACCGGGCAATTTTATCCGATAGATTTCCTTTGAGAAGCAACGGATACAGAGTTAAAAATCAGGGGGTTCTTGAATATAACATAATTTTTAGCTAATCTCTTAAGACTTCAAATAGTAAAAACACCTGATCAAGATTCTCAACAGCCTTGATAAGCACCGAGTAGAACACTTTTTGGACTTTTCCGCCTTCTCGTTCCTCAACCTCATCAATGTATGCTACACGGAGAGAGGGATTGCTGCAGCATTGGATATAGACGATGAGATTCATCAGAAAATCAACCATAGCATGAAATAAATAAATAAAAAGTCTGGAATCTATTCAGCAGAAAGGAAGGAGGGACTTACTTAACCATTAAGTTCAGGATGTCAGTAGCTCGCCTGTCTCCACTTCGCTTCTGATTTCCATAGTTCTGACAGGTAGCAACGTAAGTAAATTTGAGATCTGCTACTGCCTCTAACTGAGCGTACAAGGATCTCTGACTTTTTTTGTCTTCCTCAGTTGGCTCTGAAATGGCTTTGTACCCTGCTAATATTTCTGTAAACACAAGAAATGTTATAAGTATTTATTCCATGTACGTGACGATCACTTGCACGTTTCACTAGTGTAAATGAATTTTGTTTCAATAGTAGTCCAGTGAACATGCCTCACCTGTTTCAGTAGCCATGTCAAGAAAAGCCTGGAGCTTCAGTGCCCGCCTGTAATACATCATTCCTCGAACTGCAGGATACGATTAGCTATAAGCAACAACAAAAATCCATATAGCAAAGTATAAGTATGCATGGGTGGTATAAATTACCTGTTCTAAACAAAGTCTGTCCCCTCAAAGAAACCCAATGGCGAAGCTGCAATATATTTTCTTCACTCTCCAAAACTGCAGTCTCATCTTTACAACCAAGCCGCTCCAAGAAGTTCGTCCACTCATCTGAAATGGTGGGCCATATAAATTACCAAAAGCATTGAGAAGTAGCTAAACCCAACAACTATAGCTTGATTAATAAAACATACCTGGGAAGATCTTTTGCAAATAATATACAACTGATATACCATCTTCATTCTCCATTTCTAGGTCGTTCTTAGAGTAGACGGTCTCCTCACTATAGTATGGAGTTAGAACACTGTACATGCAAAAAAAAAGGAAAACTCTTTAAGTATACTGATAAGGAAGAGCTCCTTTCAGCAGTAGGAATTCATATCAACTACACGGATTGTATGTTTAACATTCACTCCATCTTTTCCAGATTTTATCTCTCTTTCAAAAAAAACCAAAAAAAAAAGCAAAATGTGAATATGAAGAAAAAAACAGCAAAATATGGATGTTTTATAGATATATTAATTTGAGAATAAAGATAGCACATGGTTTCAACCGAGACGCATAGATTCTGTTATCAACCGGAGCACAAACCTAAAGGAGAGCATATTTCTGACACGAGGAGCCCGCGGCATATCCATAAACAATGAATTTGTGAAGAAGGCAATCCTTCTTCGCGCTTCAAGGTTTGTGGGAACATCCATTGCAGATTCTTTTACCGTCAAGAGCAAATAAAGGCGTCTTATCTACAACAATGAATTAAATCACAATGTTGAAAATGGTCGCCAGAATGCAGAGAATCACTAAGGATTAGCCTTAAATCAAAATTTTGAACCTTTACCTGTTCATCCCATTGAGCTGTTGCCAGTGGAGGAAATAGTATAGCAGGTTTTGCGTCAGTACCAGCAAAGATTTGCCTTCCCGATTCCTTGTTAGTATGCCCAAGTTCTACCAGCTCACTGGAAAAAGGTGACACCCATGTTGATTCTTGTTTGTGTGGATACTAAAAGGTACTAAACAAACTTTCCAGTTCTGTAATTATAGATATATAGTCCACTAACCGGTTTTCATTTTGCATCATATCTCGAGTCACTACTTCCAACATATCTTGCAACAACAGCACCACTGTGTCTCTTTTGGATGGGTCCGCATCTTTCTGCAGCATCATAAGTTATACAGGATTATTAAGTTTCTCAGATAACATTGTTCACAAGTATTATCACTTCCATCAAAACATATCCTTAAAATTTATCTAGTTTCTCAGATAACATTGTTCACAAGTATTATCACTTCCATCAAACCATATCCTTCAACTTAAGTTTTTTAAAACTTTTCCATATCAGTACATTAATTGGCAATGAAGGTCACATTCTCTCCAACTCAGAAACCCCTGAAAAAGAGTTCGCAAGAGCTATTCCTACTGAAAGTCAAAGCCAACTTGGCTTAGAATCATTAACAGACCTATATATGGCGCTTGCAGTCTCTGGCATAGAAAGTATCCACTGCCACAACAATCTAACAATATCGTTGATAACAAAAGGATGTGATTCACTTACCAAGATTCCGACAAGCTCAACAAATTTACTGCAAAGAGCAGGTAAAGGAGCCATTCTGAAATTTGAAAGGAAAGAATTCTTTGATATGTTGCTCTCCACCTCTTTGATGATGATACCAATAATCCTGTGGTATTATATCATTCCTTAGTATCTTCCAATCGTATTTTAAAACTCAATGAGGCAGCTCAAATTCAAGGTTGATATACATGCCAAAGGTTAAAGAACCTACTTCATGATAAAAACAGAAAAAAATGTACTTGAAAACAGAGAAATGTTAAAGAACATATATATATGAAAGGCGTAGAAGGAGAAATGTTTCTACACTACATCAGCATATAATTTGAGACATGGTAGAGACAATTTACGAACAGAACTAACCAAACTCATTAATGAAAATTCTAAGTGCTTCATAATGATGAAATTCTCTGATATATAAGGATATACCTTTTCTCATTCTCCCCAATTACCAAGGTATGCAGGACATGTTTGAAAGATTCGTAGCATTCAATGACAGCGCATTTCATGTATTCGTCTGCGCATATGCGCTTCCAGAGGTCAGAATCTCTTGTTCGAAATTGAGCTGCCATATCCAATGCTATTGGTATCTGTAACAAGAAGAGAATTTAAGCAATAAGAAATTTTTAAATGAATAAACACGTTATTTGTGATGAGTAAAGAAGATCACAAACCTTGCTTGCAAGCAAAAATGGTGGCCACTGAATTAGTTTCAAACTAGGGTCTGAACTATAGGGAACAAGCAACAGATCCATCTCCCTGAACAAACAGTTGTTATAAGACACGGAAGGCATGTGATTCATGAAGACGGCATGTAATCACCTAACTTTATACCTGTCACTGATGAGATCTTCCTCGCGGAAGCTGCAAATTATTTCATTCCAGAGTTGGGAAAATTTTGCTGCTTCAGTTCTTCTTGCTGCTGTGACCTGCATACAGATATATTTTAGTAGAGATAATGGCAACATTCTTCGAAAAGTCACCTTGCAGATACAAACGAGCATCAAGTTTGTTTAACCTCTGCAAATCTTTTAGACAAGGAAAACCCTCTTCTTCTTGTTTTATCAGAAGGAACCAGGTACGTGTTAAAGGCACCAGGTAGTGACTGGAACCTAGACCTTAGCATTCCAAGCGTTCGTATCTGGACCAAAAATAGAAACGAATTTATGTGTTGAAAATATTGTCATGCAGGGCAACCTTAATTTCTTCGTAGTAACACAACAAGGGCAAAAGAAGTGAGTGGAATAGAACCAGAAAATATTACCTCTCCCAATCGATCAAAGGCCCCAATGACACCACCACATATAGTGGAGAAAATAGCATACCATATTTGAGTGTCCATGAAATAAACCTGAAAGAAAATTAAGGAACATGAGCCATTCATGGACTTGCTATATATAGTTCTTTTGGATGTGTTATTGCGTAAACCATACCAGAATTACTGGTAACCACAGAGACACCACTGCTCCATAGTTGTGCTCAGCTACATGAGAAACATTTAGTTTAGCAAAATACTAAAAGCAAAATCGAAAAGCATGGTTCCAAGAAAAGAGCATAAGTAGCAAGATTACCATTGGGGAAAAACTCATGCCATTTATACTTTACATGGCGAATGCTCATAATTGCGTTAGTAGGCTTCACCAAAAGTTTCACCTGCGGGGGACGTAGGAGAGGTATTAAAGGTGAGTACTATTATGGTAGTTCGAACATCAGGTCACATAACTGTTGTTATGCAGTGTCAAACCTGTAGAAAGTAGCTAAATGCAAATTTGCAACAGAAAAGCAACAGCCAGAAAAGCGTATACCTGGAAATTCCAAGAAACGTATTAGCACAAGACAATGTTTGTCAACTAATGATAAAAAATTCATTATGTGCGATCAGTTCTACAGTAAAACTTGTTTGGATCCCGAAACTCACTTTATGAGTGCAATTTGACTTTCATGCATCCCCCTTCCAACATAAATTCTTGGCTGAAAAGGAAAAACATGGAACACATCAGTAAATGGGTAATCACACCACATATAAGATATTCCCCTGAACATAACCCAGATCCAAAAACTTAATAGATCTTTGATATAGCCAGAATTCAAAGTCAAACTTTGCTCTAGGGGAAAATGGATCGTATATTGCAGATAACCTCAGTATCAGAGTTCACAGCTTTTTCTAACATGCCTAAGGGTTTTGCTGATTTAATAGAATATGATCTCCATGCAGGACCAGAAGGAAGAAAAGAAGTATAAACCCAGACTTCATACCTGTGACCACCACAAAAGCAATCTAAATATATGCCAGTCTGAATTCTCAATCCAGCGTCGAAGCATTGGAAAAATAAACATGATGGCTGCCAGCACATTTGGGAGCAAGTAAAGAGCGACAGCCATGATATAGAGCGGAGGAACCCCTTTAACTTGTGGAAGGAATGATAGCCATTGCTTCAGCTGCCCAGGAGCAAAAGAGACGGACTGTGCATAGCAAAGCGGTAATACTACACACCAAGCAAGACTTACGATGATCTTGAGAATATTTCTCAATATATCAGTAAATTTCCACCTGTGGAAACCTGGGAAGTTTAAGATGACGTCGAGGACACCTATCAGAGAAGCAAGAAACAAGGGAACCATTACTTCCACGAAAAGTTACTAGATGATGAACACAGAGGAGCTCCAGATAAATAAAATATTGTCACAGCATTGTGAGGTGAAATACTCTGCAGGAAGCGCAGAAAAGCTGCTGTGATGAAGATACTGGAGAGAGAATATAAAACATCCTTGCGTAAGATTTCCTTCAGCTCTACTCGTTCAAATGCAAGAATGATCATTGCCTGCATTGAGAAGTTGAAATGTCATTTGGACCGGCTCATGTTATTAGGAATCATTCGTATAGCTCGTGCCAGATTGCTTACTTGGAGTGCTAGTAGATAGAATGTCCAGAGTCTGTCAAAACTGTGATATATGTGCCAAAATGTTCGAGTTTCTGTGAAATTTGATTTGCCTGTGTTTCCCGCTTTTCGTAACGATCCTTTTTTTCCCTGTCAATTAATTTAAAGTTTTAAAAATACTGAATAACTCGATGGGAACAGAGAAACAGCTAAATAAACCACATGGGGCTACCTGTGCCGTATCACGTGTTGATTTAAAAAGATCTCCATCATCACGCATTGGCCAGCCAAGAGAGAAGCAATCCGGAGACCTATATAACAGTGATGTGAAAATGATACAAGGACTTTAAGGTATCCCAACCAAGTAAATGTTGAATTTACAGACTTGAGTTCAAATATACCAGAAATATTCGTTTAGATCATCATAGTTGGACCAATCTGAGTGAGCAGCCTTGCCAGTCGCATTCTTATTTGCTTCCTAATTCATAAAAAAGTTAGCTATGGGGTATACGACGTCAAGATTCTTAAGATGTAATCGTCCTATAATTGAAACATGTACCTTTTCAACTACACGGTAGATTGGTGTAATGACCTTCCTTAGAAATGCCTCATCATCTCCACCGTAAGAAGGCTTAATGTTTTCTCCAGTAACGATGCTGACATTTCCAGCCAAGAGACCATGGAGCTCGTAAGCCATCTGAGCATAAACAAGAGATAGAATTGATATACTCTTATGTTTGATCAATTATAACAGGCAGAACACACTAACAAAAAGTTAACTGAAGAAATTCTCAATATTTTACTGACATTGTGGAAAATATAGCATAAGCATTCTGGCATGAAGCGGATATTTGCAGCTTCACCCCAGATGAGAAGATACAAGCCCATGTAAAGTATCTTCCTCTGTTGTATATCTTGAGCACCTTGAGGAAGCCTTTGAATAAAAACAATCGTGTGAACTTCATTCACAAATATTTTCCATCCAAGCCAATTATAGAAATTTTTTGCCTGGTACCTTAAGCTGTGTTTGCGTCCTAAAAATTTGCACCAGTTCTTGTAGTTCTTAAAGAGTTTTGTCATCACAGCATCAACTGCTCTGTCATCGAGCTGCATTTATAGGTTAGTTGGATAAATATTACTTTGCTAAAGGAACAGTATTTACCAGATGAAGATGTAGCCTGAATTGATATAATATTAGCATTGTTTTTTAAAGAAGTACTAGAAAATTCTCTTTAAGGCCAATCTGTGGTGTTGTTCACAAGGTCGGTGAATTTTACTAAAGACCATATCCAGAGCTCTCTGTTACCCATTCAATTCATCCCTACAATTCCAATGGGTCTCAAAGCACATGCCCAAATGCTATGTGAGCGGCCAGAACTATTTGAAGGTACCTTGTTCAGAGGCTCTGGCTTGGGAGTTAACCTTATATGATTATCAGCAAGTAAACAAACCAGATGCTCCCTCTGGTTCCTGACATTGTCTTTCTGTGAAAATCAAATAAATAAAAAGTGAAATACATCTCACTGGTTGAACATTAGTACATTAGATCATATTTTTACTCCTTTTAGAACACCAACTTGCCTGGAATCCAAACATAGCTCTTAACCAGTCAAGAAGATCCAGATTTCCAGATTTCTTTTTGTGCTGCTCAAATCCAGATGGCCAGTTCAATCCACGAGTGTTCCCCAAGGCAGCTACAGAAGCTTTGACCTAATCATCAAGCAGCGTTAGAGGTATAAGAAAATAGATACCAAAAGTGAGCAGCGATTAGGTTAGAGCATGGAAAGACTCATTCAGCTAAAGTATACCTCCTCAAGCTGCATAGCAGACTGTGAGGCCCCAGCAGAATCCAGTGGAAGGATGTTGTAGGGTGCATAAATTTCGTTCTTTTCTTGGACATCTCTAGCAGCTGCAATAATCTATTCAGACACACATAGAAAATTTTCAAACTCCCATCTCATTTCAGTTGAATAAAGAAAAATTGATTTTATATTTTTCATGGTTGCTTTGAAGAATTAGAATCTGGACACAAACCTCAGGAGCTACTGCTTCAACTTTCTCGCTCTTGTTAACTGCCATGAGCACTTCAAAGAGCACTCCGGCTGTCTGGTATGCTTTCCCAAGCTGAGCTCTGCAAAAGTTGGTTCACAAATTCGTCAGATTAATAAGAACACTGTACTAATTATCTTTAAAGCCCTCTTACCTGTCAGCTTGATCCCCTTGGTCAAGTGCTCTGACATAGTGCTCATAATATTGTTGATAGTAGCTCTCAACTTCCCGTCCATCGGTTTTCTTCACCCTAGAAGCAAGACTCGAAGCATTGTCCTGTGTTGTAAAATTTGTTATTAGCTCAAGTCATGCTAGAATACAATCATTATCCGTATTCATTTGAAATGGATATTCTCAAGGTAAAGTATAAAACGAATCTGTTCTGGAATCGCAATTTATGGGAAATTTGCAAACTAAAGCTTGCGAGTTAAGGGGCTTGTGAAGCTGCGGTTTGTTTCATAAGATAAAGGTCTAAGACAATGAATATTAAAATGGAATTTGATAGCACATGACAGCATCCTTTGTGAAGACTACGATACATAACAGCAAGAAAACTTATACAGATGGAACAGTCAATGTGTGTCGTCAAGATGATAAAGCTTTATTTAATGGCAATAAAGAGATAGAAAAGTAAGAGATGTTCACCCTTTCTAATCTTTGGAAAAGAAGTGTCTTGAATTGCCTCACACCTCGGCCACTAGAGCTTGGATCCAACCTATGAGCTTTCTCGAATGCATAAAATCGACCTATATACAAACACCAGGGAAATTTTAAGTTAGCAACATAAATCGAAGTATTTCGACTTTATCCTGGAAGCAAAAAACTAAGGAAAAAGCAAAAGCCATACAGAGGTAGGCAACACGAGGGCGTTCATGTTCGATTTCTGCAGCAACACGCAGAATAGGGGCAATGGTGCCAAGGGAGGCTGGAACCACCTCGTGATCAAAAACTTCAATTGATACTGTTGTGGCGGCACTACGTGATGGCCGCCTCATTAGCCCCTGAGGGCCAGAGTCATGAGATGTGCTGCTCTGTGCCATCTCCTCCTGCAAGAAACAATCACAATGATACCGAGATCGTGTGGATTATATCTACCAAAAATAAGGTAATTTCAAAAGATTGTTATGCAATACAACAATTAATTAGAACATTAGTATACGAGATTCCGTTCGATTAATATGTGCAATTAAACAGTTTTTGAAGCACAAACCCAAACAAAATGGAGCTAGAGCAAGTAGATTTGAAATCCAGAAGAAAACGGATACGGAAGACATATTAGCAATTACTAACAAAAACCAACAAACCCCATCGGCAGAAAAATCTCTGCATCGTACGCAAAACAAAAGGACCTCGTGATCAATAACGATGATAAACAAACGCACAAAGCAAAATGTATCCCAGGCAAGAGGAATTGACAGCGAAACCAAAAACAGGACAATCAATTCAACGTTCTCGTCTCACAATTTCCTTTAAAAGAATTGAATCGGCAGAATAAAATCTCTGCACCGCCAAGATTGATATCCGAACACGCACAAAAAAAAGGAACTCAGGATATAGAAGAATCATAAAACGAAATTAGAAGCTGAACAATCGATTCAACGTTCTCTTCTCATAATTTCCTAAAACAAATCAAAGAATCTGAAAATCAGCAGGAGAAAATCTCTGTATCGTACGTGAAACAAAAGGACCTAACGATCCATAACGACAAACATACACAAAACCAAAACGGAGCTCAGGCGAGAAGATATCAAAAACGAGAACAGAAACTTGACATCGATTCAATGTTATCTTCCCTTAATTTTCTAAAACAAAACAGAGGAATATGAATCGACATAAAAAATATGTATCGTCCGCACAACAAAAAGAACAAACTCATCCAAAAAAGGAGGACTCACGTTGGATGCGCAGAGTTCTTAGATCCCCTTCCCTGACGATCGATGAAACGAAAAATAAAACAAAACGGAATCAGTACACCGAACGAAATACAGTTTCTCGCCGGAAGAAATTAGACGGAGACGTAAAAATTGACCTCAAGCAGAGACGAGGAGACACAATTTCTTGCGGAGCATGAATCAGAGAAATCTCAAAAACAAAAAAATGACGAGAGGAGAGAGAGAGAAATCAAAAAAATGGGAGATGATGCGTTTTACGGTTTTAAGAGGGAGGGAAATGAGAGAAATTTTTCCGTTAGAGAGAGGACACGTGGGGAGCAGGCAAAGACGCACTCTCTCTCATACGCAATAGTACTGTTGTTGAAATTTAGGGACCGATTTATGCGTCTCACAATTGGATCTCCGTTTCTTTCTCTCTTATTTCTGTTTTCTTATTCCTATTGTAATATATATATGACAATATATACTGATTATATCGGATTTAATATATCTTTTGTTTAGAACTTATAAGTATATTAATGACATTAATGATGACTACATATTTGGGACATTTTGGTATCTATTATCTACTAAACGCTTTCTAGCGCATAGAAGACTAATAAATTTGTGTGTTAGCTAAATTGAGATTTGTGTGTTTGTGATAACGGATTAGTTTCCGGTAATGTATTTATGTGATGTGATCAGTTCTTTGAAGCTAGATTAAGAAATTCTTACTAGATTTTGGATCCGCGCACTTGCGCGGGTTTCTTTTTATAAAATATTTTTATGCCATACCAAAAATCGGTTCATATTAAAATTTTAATCAAAAAAAATCAGCTTATATTATTAAATCCAAAATTATGGCCCAAACATAAATTTTTTATTAGATTATATAAACTATTTTTACGTTATGGTTTATGTTCTTAAAATTATTTAGGCTTGATTTTCTAAAAAATAAATATTTTGATTAGCGGATTTCCGGTCAAATTTTGTAACAAATATTTTCAAAGTATTATGTTTTATAATGCAAGAGAGATTTTTCTTATTTGTAATTAAAGTTTCAATATTTACTTAGGTTTTGTTTGTTTTTGCATTCAGATACTTATTTGTAGGGGTGGGCAAAAAAATCCAACCGAAGTGAATTAATCCAAACCGAACCAAAGTTTATATCAAAACATTTTGGTTGAGATTTCTATCAACCCGAATGGTTCGGTTCGGTTTGGTTTTAAATTAAACCGAACCGAAAACCAATATGTTTTCTTAATTATTAATTATTAATTATTAAATTTCTAGTTTTTGTTTTGTTTAAATTTTTGTTGATATTGATTTGTTGCAGACTTTTTTTAGGCTACAGAGGCAAGATATATACTATGATATGATGAAATTGAATGTTTTGGTTTTCTTTTTAGTTAAATGTTATTTTATATTAAAGTTTTTTTGAGTTTTACGAGTTTTGTTGTTTAAGAAAGTTTACATTTTTATTTTGATTTCGACGTTATGTTTAAGATTTACACAAAGTTTTGTTTTGCAAACTATTAAGTATTAACCAAATTAAACAAACCAAACTGAACCAAATCGAACTATATTTAAATCGAACCGAACCGAAGCCAAACCGAATTAATTTTGGTTGAGTTTAGTTAGAATTTTAGTATAACCAAACCGAACCGAACCCGGACCGAAACCATAAGTATACCGAAATGCCCACCCCTACTTATTTGGATGTAAATGTTCAAATATTATTTTATTAAATATCTGAATATGAAATCAATAATATCTCAAATTTTGAATATTTAAAATGCTAAAAAAATAGAGTTTGGATGCAGCATTTGAATCTCAAAAATTAAAAGACATAAATACATTTTTAATTTAAACTATAAAATCAAGTTTTTTTGTTATCAAAACCATAAAATCAGACTTTTTGATCGAAATAAAAGGCCGTATTTTCCCTCAAAATACCAAAATCACGTTGTTGTACCAAAATCGGGAATTCCAATAGAAACTGTAAAAATAGCATTTTCCATCAAACAGTATTTTTCTGCCAAAACTGTAAACCCACATTTTTTAACAAAGTCAAAAATTAGTAAAATCATGTTGTTGTAACAAAATCAGGAATTCCCGTAGAAAGTGTAAAAATAACATTTTCCATCAAACCGTATTTTCCTTCCAAAATTGTAAACCCACATTTTTTAACAAAGCCAAAATTTATGTTTTCCCCAACACCATAAAACCGTATTCTATTGCCAAATTTCTAAAATTACGTGTTTTTGTCAAACCTGCAAAATTACGTTTCTCATCAAATCCACAAACCTGCATTTTCAATAAAATCGATAAAATCACATTTTCCATCAAAACCTATAAACCCCGCCAAAACATGTAAACCTCATAAAATTTGCAAAATCACGATTCTGGCCAAGTCCACAAACCCATATTTTTCATAAATTTGTAAAATCCTTAAAATCATGTTCTAGGATCAAATTTCTAAACTCATGTATTTCTGTCAAACCTGCAAAATCGAGTTTCCAAACCCACATTCTTCCGTATGACTATATTTTCCCATCAAAACTCATAAAATCCACAAAATTACGTTATTCGCATTCCGTAAATTCGTGTTTTTCCGTAAACCCCATAAAATCTGCAAAATTAAATTTCTAAAATCATGTGTTTCTGCTAAATCTACATAAACACTTTTCTTATTAAACCGGTATTTTTTCGTAAAAGTATATTTTCCGCTAAAACTTATAAAACCCGCTAAAAGTTGTAAAACTCGTAAAATCTACAAATTTGTGTTTGTCAAATCTACAAACCCATAATTGCCGGCAAAAAATTAATTAACAAACCACGAAAAAATTATTTACGTAATATTGTTTTATTAGTATGTATATATGTAACCAAAAAATAATAATTACATATTCATCTTTGACTATAAATTATCACATTTAATAAATATCATATTAGCTTTTAAGCATTTTAAAGTAGTGCTTTTTTCAATTGTATAGTGAAGAAATTGATTATGATATAATATATATTTAATTTATAATATAATATATATATAATTATATTAATTATTCATGCCATATATATTTGTGGTAATTATGTTAAGGTATTATGAAAGATTTTACAATAATTTTGAAATTAAATTAATTTGAATTTTATTAAATGTCAGATATAATTTATTGATATTATCTGTTAACAAACTAATGTAATTTAATTTAATTTAATGCATTTTTAGTGATTTAATGATATGACTAAATTACCTTTAATGAATTAGTGAAATTGTCTAGTAAATGTAATGGCATATATTGTAAATACCATAGTAACTTTTGAATATTTATTAAGAATGATTCTCTTTTAATAGTTTAGATATATGTGCTTTGAAAACATCTATAATATTAATTAAAGATTGAAACATATGTTATATTACGATATAAGCCATTTAATCTGTAAGCGCCCCACGAGAATAAAAATCGGACAATGTTTTATATCCTCTTTACCCACAGGAAAAAGTTTGCAGTTCTCTCGTAACTCTTGGTATCTTCCTTGCACCTACTTGACATGTGATATCTCATGCATTTACATCATTTATGCTTGTATTTAGTTCATGTTTTGGTTTTCTTTTGCATGTTTTCCTTCTCTTTAGTCCCATTTCCCTGTTCTTTTAAACTCATGTGGCATTTATGTTGTAGTTTGCATTTTCCATGCATTAAAGATGTTTCTAGGTACTTAAGAAGCTAAAAGAAGCAATGAGAAGTTGTGAGAATGAACCAAAAAGCTAGCCAAGCTAAGAGGGAGCAGGAGGAGCCAAGGAAGACATCTTCCGGGGGCCTATCGGTCAAGCTATCGGTCAAGGAATGACCGATAGGAATGCATCTGGGGGCCTATCAGTCAAGCTATTGGTCAAGGAGTGACCGATAGGAATGCATCGGATGTATTCCGGTCACCCTATCGGTCACCTTCAAGACCGATAGGAGCCTATCGGTCAAGCTATCGGTCAAGGTATGACCGATAGGAATGCAGACTGAAGACCACTTATTTACAATTTTGCCATTTTCGCCTAAACTTTTATAAATACGAAAAATCCTTAATTTTTGAGAAAAGTCTTTTATCCACCACTTACTTCTTCCTTTGTTATTCATTTTGATTTTGTAGTTTGAATCTTTGCTTGATTTTAATTAAAGTTTGCATTTATCTTCTTGTTTAATATTTCTAGTCATGTTTAGCTATCTCTTTCTCTTTGAATTGATGGTTTTAATGGTGCTTAGTGAGTAGTCTTTTTAGGGAATTGAGATGGGTTAGGTGTAGGGAATTTGAGACTCTATAAATGATTGTTTAGTGTTAATTCTTCCATTTCCTTTATTAAATGCTGTGTATAATGCCTGACTAGCTCTAGCTAAGTAGATTACGATCTTAGGCTCATTTTATGCCCACAAAGTGTTTGATGAAATGCCTGAATTGCATTGTAAGAGAATTGCTTGTCCTAGCTCAAGAGATTGACTGTCTAGGGAGTGATTTGGCAATATAGGATTGAATACTTGTCTTAATACTTGCTGTTTGTTATTTCACTAATGAGAATTAGTTCTTGACTTGATAATTAGCAAAAAGATTAGTGCCAAAAGAATGGATTAGTCCTATAAATGAATCATATGCATAAGGAATATCATTGTGTGAGTTTGTAACCATCATAGGTTGAGTCAAGAGTTCCCTAATACCAATCATCTCATCTCAAGTCCCATCTTTTCTTTGTTTTTAGCTTGAATTCGAATTTGCTCTGTTTTTACCTTTTTTTAGTTGATTTGCTTTCTGTTCACTCTTTGTTTGGTATCTGCTTCAGTTAGTTTGATCACTTAGGTTGTTAGACTTCTAAAACTCTCTTTATATCTGCTTGAGTTAGAAATTCTGCTATAATCCTGCTGTTTCAATCTTCCTCTTTGGATTGACAATAAAACCCAAATACTACAACTGATTAGTACAATGGGTGATTGACCAAGATAGTCAATACTCTTGTATCAATTTAGCTCCGTTGCCATTAGGAGAATGCTTTGGTTAGTAAGATTTGTAGAAATCTTGAGATCAAGCTTTGTTATTTTGGTTTTTGGTTACTGATTTCTCTTTTGGTATAGTATTTCTTTTGTAGGTACCACAACACTTGCTCTTAAGTGTCTACAACTAAACTGAGGTTCAAGGTCAAAGATTTTGGGTTTGCAGCATCAGAACTCAGCTGTTGAAGTATGGAAGAACATCAGTATGCTGCTGGTTTTCGGTTGCAAGGTCAACAAGGTCCACAAGGTCCTCATGGCTTACACGAAGCTTGGGTTCATAGACCATTGAGACCTATTTGTGCTGCTGATATGCCTTTAGGTT